TCCCTAACTTCGCTCTTCTTGGTACCACGCTCGACAACATCTCATTACAGTAGCTTCGTTTCGATTCACCCGATTAGCGAATTGTCTAAGAGAAAATCCGGCTTCACGTAACCCGAAACAAATGGAACCAACACAGAAAAATCAATGAATATTAAGTAAACATGTTCATATTGTTCGGATTCTGATGTGACAAAAAAAGCCTTTACGAAAAAAGTACGCCTTCAACATTTCATCAGCGTATACTTCCATGATAGCAAATATGTTTACAAGTTTTTTCAAAATTCAATGAATAATTCTGGATGTTGCATTTTATATGTCACTTAGTATAAAGACACATTAAAACATATCACTAAAATCGTTGTCCATAAAATAGGATATATAGTATAAGAAGCTTTCTTAATTCCCTCGAGTGTCTTCTTAAAATGTTCCGTATTTAGTGACTTCACTGACTCTGGTAAACCGTTGTAAAACTTAATATCACAGTAACACATCATCTCTGGCTTTCAACACCCTTCTATATGGCACTACTAAATATTGACCAAATCTGGTTTGGCAGCTGTCGAAGTTCCTACTGAATTTGCTTATATCCCCTGAAATACTCAAGGCATTCCAAGATATATACAGTGTGTCCTAGATTCGCTCCTCTATACATGGATCTCGGCTCCTGTTATACCTACAGCAAAGGTTAAATAGGGAAGGTTTTAGAGGAAACTTAGTGCTTTCGATAGCCGACATCAGATTTACTATCAGTGGATTTGTTTTGAAAATATCAGCGAAAAACCGACAATGGCGGAATTTGTTTTATGCCAGTAAATCCAAGACGGTTAATTTGACAGTTGTCAAAATGTGGCATTATTCGGACATTCTTTTAATAAGATAAGCATGTATGACATGTTTCAATCGTCTTTTGTTTTCTAGCAATCCCCCTCAACTTTCATGTCTCTCATGGTCGCCATATTGGCTTTTTTGATTTTTGAAAAGAGTGTTAAATTTCCAGTCTAGTGTTGTCTCACAAGTGCATAAAAGATTGGAGTATCACCGTAATATCAACATACGTAATGTTATGTATTAGTTTTTTTCTAAGGTCATGATTTATTTGTCAGAAGATCACATTAATGAGTAAGGCATAAAAAACACATAAACGCCTTGAATTTTCAATATAATATTAACGTTAATATCGACTTCTCATCAAGTCAAATGCTTTGAGACAAATTCCCAACTACGAGTGTGTTAAAAAAATAAGTCAGAAAAAAAGTTGTGAATATATCTAATTATATAAGTGGGTATTAATGTGCAGATTTGCAAAATAACGTCCATTTGCATCTAGACATTTTTGACAATTGGTGACTGTTTTTCGTACAATCTTAGCAAGTGTATTTCTGTTAATGTTTCTGACTGTGCTTAAATTTCTATGGTCGCGGGAGGATCAAATTGATAGGCCTCATTCTTTGTGTAACCCCAGAGGTAGAAATCCAAGAGTGAAAGGTCAGGGGATCTAGGAGGCCAAGATATTGAACCATTTAATAAAATTATTCATTCATCAAACTTCTCTGTTAAGAAGTTCCCGAACTTGAATGGTGTTGTGAGCCGGACATCCATCCTGTTGAAACCAGGTTCTTCTAAACTCATCTTTGGTTAGACAAGCTCGTAAAGCCGGCACAACCTGGTTTCGCAAAAGCTCTTGTACCTCAGTCCATTTAGCTTGTAGTCAAACAAAAATGGTCCTATACAAGTCGATTTCCTGAAATGATTAATACCTAATTTCAAATAGGTGCCCAACTAAAAAAGGTAAGTTAGATTAAATTACCAATGACCTCATACCAAACTTTAGTTCCAAATCTGGTCTGTCTGTCACTTCGTGAGGGTTTTCTACAGCCCAATGATGAGTGTTGTGCTTATTGAAAACTCCGCAATTCGTAAACCTACTCAGATCGGACCACAAGACATGTAGGTTTGTATGGATGGTCCTTATTATTTAACACTCTCTGTACTGTTTATTTTGAAACACCAATTTCTCGTTCTATAGTTCTTACTGATGCTTCTAGGTTGTTCGAATGCCCCATGGTTTATTAAATTAACTACTATTTTTCTAAATTTTGTTTTATAAGACTGCCGTCGTTCGGGGTACATCTCCAAGTACCTTGCTGAGGTAATGTCGGCGTGTCTGTGTGACTGCAAGTACAGCGCTAACATGTCAAAATTTTCTTCATTTGAGTAGGGAATACCGGCTATTTTCAACAGGTTTTGACAATTTTTTTGTCAGATTTATGATTTTAATGAGAGAAAACGTACCTACTACTTATTAAAACACATTTTTGATATATCAAATTATTTAAAGTCAAAGTCAGAGCCTCCTTAGATGAAAAAAAATTAGGCCACTTATTAATGTTATTTTTTGACCAATAAATCATGGCCATCTTAGAAGAAAAATTGTGAGACATTACTGTATAGGCTGGAAATTCAGACACATCTTATTTGCCTTGAAAAATGTCCGAATAATGTCACATTTCACAGCTGTGAAATTAACCGTTTTGGATTTACTGACAAAAAACAGGAGCCGAGAACCCTGTATAGAGAAGCGAATCTGGGACACACTGTATACACGTTAAGGTCAAAATACCCATGTTGATAAATATACTAAGTGACATATAAATCCGAACACCCAGTTTAAATGGTTCTATTTTAATAAAATTTTGTATAAGTACTTCATGAAGCATAATAAGTAAATGATAAAAATTTCAAAATGATTGCACTGCTTTATAGCCCCTTGACCTTTAATAATGTGTGGATGCACCCTGATGTGCTACGCATTCTCCAACGCGCCTAGGCATGCTTCTGATCAGGTGGTCAATGTCCTCCTGTGGTATCTCATTCCAGGCAACCACCAACTCCTCTGGAAGTGCTTCTAGAGTCTCAGGAGGACGTTGCAAATTGAGCAATCTCCTACCCATCATATCCCACACGTGCTCAATTGGGGATAAGTCGGGAGATCTTGGTGGCCATGGTAACAATGTGACATCATTATGTTGAAAGAAGTCTATTGTGACTCTTGCAACATGTGGTCGGGCATTATCTTGTTGGAAAGTTGGATCTGCCAGGGTGTCAAGATAGGGTACAAGATGGGGTTCTAGAACTTCGTGGATATAACGCTGCGCGTTCATGTTACCTCTGATGAAGATTAAGGGTGACCTGGAACCATAAGCTATAGCACCCCAAACCATAACTCCAACAGTGTGATGAACATGTCTTTCAACAAAAAACTGTGGATTCCTTCTTTCACCACGTCGCCTTCTAACCCTGGCACGACCATCGTGCAAGCCTAAACAAAATCGAGACTCCTCACTAAAGACAATACTGTTCCATTCCTGATCCTAGAGTGACCGTTGTCTGCACCACTCAAGGCGATTACGTCGTTGTCTGCACCACTCAAGGCGATTACGTCGGTGTTCTCGAGTTAAAGGGAGGACCCAGTGTGGCCGGTATGAAAACGAGCCAAAACTTCTCATTCGTCGGTAAACACTTCGAATGCCAATAGGTCTTCCGTGTTCTGCAAACCGTTTATTTGCAATGGACCTGGTAGTGGAGAAACGGTCCCTTAAGGCCAATAATCTTAGGCAGCGATCTTCACGGTCTGTTGTTCTACGGCGGCGTCCAGTGCCCCTTGCTCTTTGCGTACGGCCTTCTCGAAGCCATGCCTGACAACACCTAACCACAGTGTCTACACTTCTTTGCACTCTAACTGCAATTGCCCGAAAAGAAAGTCCAGCTTCCCGAAGTCCCACTATACGGCCCCTATCAAACTCGCTAAGTTGACGAAATCGTACAGGTCTCCATACTCTAGGCATCGTAACCGATCGTAAAGGATGTCAATAACCAAAATCCGCCAACGTTGATTCTTTACTGCGGCTGAAATATTCATTTTTAGAGCGTTAGTGAATTAAGAAAAAGCAGTATAAAAACCGGAATGTCCAACTGATAAGGCTGAACATTTTTTCACTTGTTACTTACAGTAAGATAAATACATTCACCAACTTTTATTAAAATAAAACCATTTAAACTGGGTGTTCGGATTTATATGTCACTTAGTATACATCAACACGGGAATCCTGGTATCCTAGTCGTGCTATCACCCTCACAGATTTTCTTGGTATTGCGAAAACTCTAAAAGCATGTTATAATAAGCTTGGAAAACGACATACCTGAGCCACGCAATTTACTAGATTGTGAACGACAAAAGAAACTTTTACTTGTTTGGTGGTCAGGTTATTGTCGTGCCCGTCCCAGTTCAAGCGACTGTCCAGATGAAAGCCAAGAAATTTTACAAAGATATTGCTACAATGATCTTCCAATGAGAAATACATTTTTACAAATGGAACACCTGAAAAATGAGTGACGTGACGCCAATTGAGTGTTGGCTGTTACAATGGAACTCAACGCGATTGTTGGCGCAATGCAATTCAGCGGTTTAGCAGACTGCTATGATATCTAGCCACTACATTATATTATTGGTTATCCAAACATCGTGTTTGTGGCGACCGCTCTAATAGCACGTCGCCATTGTTAAGGTCGCCGAGATACCATTAAGAATGCGTCCTGCTCTTTCCGACAAGGTGCCAGTTCGTACTAAGATCGAGACGAATCTAGTGGCATAGCACTTGTCACTGTGTAATATTCAAATAAAAAAAAATAGTAATATGACATAGGAACAGTGACAAATTTTCTGTGTAAGTACTATGTCATTTGTCTTGCGATCTGGTCTCCAGTCGTGGACACTTGGCGCGAAATGGCAACTTAACCTGCCACTTGAAAGCAAGTAATTAATGTCTCTAGGTGTCCTCTCGCCAATTAGTTATGTTTTTTATAGTCCACACAATTAAGACGAAAAATGCAACAAGGGGTTTGAGTGATATTTTTGGTCAAAAAGAATAAATACGACTTTTGGCGACATCATTAAATCAAAAATGGTTATGAGTTGATATTGATTTTTATTGCTTTTGTAGGATGGCAGTGCAGTCAGTAGAGGTGGTCCATTGATGCAGGGAGCCCCCAATTACATGAACGGTAGCCCCCAGAGACGGTTCATGTCGGAAGGTGAGCTGGTGCGACAGGAAGCACATCAGCTCTCCTATCCTCGGTCTAACAACACCGTGGACAACATCAGAGAGCTGGCTAATTCACCGCAAAGGTCAGTATAATGCAAAGGATATTTAAACTATGACTGACGAGAGACGTGGAGGTTATCACTGCTTGGGGTCGCAAAAATCTTATACAGTTTAATGCTTTCAAGACACAGTCCTGTACGAACAAAAAGCATCCTAGCGCTCATCAGGTTTCGATGGATGGCCGAGATCTGCCAAAGAGACGTTCATTTCGGCTGGTCGGAGTCCAGATCACCGAGGCCTTGATATGGCACGAACGCATCTTGTCAATACCAGCAGCTGCTGGGAAAAAGCTAGGCTATTTGTTTAGGGCTAAGAAGTACTTTTCTCCACGTAACCTCCTCACCCTATACAAGTCCCAGATAAAATCTAGCCTTGAGTATTGTTTACAAGTTTGCCTCTTTCGCACCGACGGGTCGTCTTCTACCGCTACACCAATGGATTTTGCTCCTCAGAACTCTTATCCATGATGCCGCCGTGTGATGTGCTTGTCAGACAGATCCGCCTGACTTCCGCCTCCCATCGTGTGTCGAACTTCGTACATGCAGAACTGGCCGAGACAATGGCTAAAAGTACAGGATATGAATCCTTAGCTCATTTTACGAAGAAAAGTTTATATGAACATATCGTCGTCCATACCGCAGACAGGCGTATCTGACAAAAAATCAAATTCGAGTTAACGGATTCAAATCAACAAGGTATAGCATATCTTCAATCCCGCAAAGTGGCGTAACTCTAAGTAGTTCGCTCATAGAGATATCAGCATAAAACTAAACGACGTATCTCTCAGAAATGAAATACAATACACCGCAAATAGGCGTAAATGAAGATACGCCTACATGCGGTGTCCATTTTTTGCTACTCTCTCAGTGGTAACTAAGATATGTCCTTTTGACTTACAGAATACATATGATGTTTTGTCCGAATTGAGTCACACCTTTGCTGCAGTCGAGATTTATAATCCGGAAGATCCGGACTATCATCAAACTTGTGAAGTTAAAAGCTGTAAAGGAGATGTGTTCAGTTCCTGCTTTCAATGCTCAATTTTGCTAGGTTGGAAGCATTTTGAAGATGATACCCTATCCTGCCAGGACGGACACAGGACAGTACAGAGCAGTGTACTTAGCAAAGAGAAACAGGAAGAGAGGCGCCCTGAAGATTTTTTTGTAGAAGGTTCCCAGGCAGAAGGTGATAGGAAAAAAAAGTCAGAGAAGATAAAAGAAGAATTGCAAAAACGTTGAGGAATCAAGGCGAAACATATATTTCGCCTGTAACTAAGAAAATTGTGAAGGAGAAAGCACTTAAGGGAATCTGCAATATACAAATGTGTAAGAAAAGGAAAAGGATGTGTTATTTGTTCAGCAGTCCTTTAAGAACAATGATATTCTCACAGTTTTATAGTCTTGGTGACCTCCAACAACAAAGAACTACAAATAGCAATGATCCACGCCGTAAGCAAACACATTATTTTTTCTTACCTCTAGAAGGTATCCGACAATTAGGTTGTAAAAAAATGTTCCTTGGGACCCTTGGGATAAGTGAGAAAGTTTGCAGAACCGCAGTAAAGAAATTGAATAGAACAACGAGTGTGCTAGAAAAAGAAAATCGTGGAGGTCGACGGGAGTTACAATCATCAAGAGACATAGTCATTAGAAAAAGTATCATAGAGCACATAAATAAGTTCCCCAGAGTAGAGTCACATTACTGCCGGAAGTCCTCAACTAAACAATACCTACATGAAGATTTATCTCTGAGTACAATGTACCACATGTACAAACTGGAAGACCAACAAACAAAGGGAAGTTTTTCTTTGTATAGAAAAATTTTCAGATCCATGAGCCTCTCATTTCACAAACCAAAAAAAATACAATGTGGCCTTTGCAAGTGTTACAGAGAAGGATCGGAAGAAGTAAAGGCTAATTTGGAAAAGGAGTACTTGGCCCACATTTTAGAAAAGGAAACGGTAAGAGAAATAAAGAATAGCTGCAAAGAAAAAGCTAAAAATGATACAAAGGTGCTACATTTGATCTCCAACAAGTTATATACTTACCAGTTTCTAATCATTGTTCCGTATTTTATAAAACACGGCTTGCTGTCTACAATCTAACTATGTATGAAGTGGCATCTCGAGAATGTTTTTGTTATACATGGAGTGAGACTGAAAATAAACGAGGTAGCTCGGAAATATCGACTGCTGTTTATTTATTTATTTCCGAAAAAGACAAACAAGGCTACAATACTGTTGACTTATTTGCTGATGGTTGTAGTGGCCAAAATAAGAATTCCATAATGGCTACCACTCTTTTATATCTCGTCAGTAATTGCTCAAATGTTAAAGAGATTCAGCACATAGTGCAATAGTTACGCTTTGAAAAATGCAGGTGAAATTATTGTGCCGAGCCAGTTATTGCCAGTCTATGCATTAGCAAGGAAGAAACAGCCATATAAGGTTCGTCCCTTAGACTATAGTAATTTTTTTGACCTCAAAAAACTCGCATCAGACTTAAGAGTATTATCTATTCGAAAAGATGATAAAGACATGGATGTGAATTGGAAAAATATGATGGAATTCAAAGTGACAAGTGATAATTGCAACAAAATCTATTTCAAGACTAGCCATAAGCCAACACACTACAGGTCCATAACCTTGAAAAGAAATGTTTCCGATATTTTAAAAAAAGAGCTGTCTCCTCTGAATAGCGACCTATGAAAAATCACAAATAAAAAATATAATGATTTGACCTCACTTTGCCAGGGCGATAGGCCTTCCATCACTCTACCAGAACATCAACGTTTTTATGATTTACTACCTCATGAGGACCAGCCATAAATGTTTTTGTTTGAAATCATCTTCTTATTTTTGTTCTGTATTATCCTTGAGTTGCTTGAGTATTATTTACATCTGAGAATAAAGTGTTTTTTTATTTAATCTAATTTTATTCCATATGGAGTGAAAGGCGTATCTTCAAACTGCTAGACTATTGTAATTGTCAAGGTTACCGCAAAGAGGCGTATCTGAAAAAAAAAATAGAAAACATGTTTAGCTGAGAAGATGAATTTTCTTTCCTCTATATACTTCTCAGAAGATGATGAGCACACTTTTTAGCTATGTTATTGGAAGAAATTATGCTCATATTGTCTAAAGTAGTAAAGATATATGAAATCAAATAACTGTCGATATTCATTTTGCTTCTACTGAAAATTTATATAAAATCAGTTACGCCTGTTTGCGGTACGGACGACGATATGTTCTAGACCTCTTAACTTTTGAGCGACAGGGTGTTAAAATTTTAAGAAAAAAATCGTTTTCTTATAACGTTACTACTGTTCTAGATATTTTCATGAAATTTGACATGCACCTACTAAGCAGCAATAGGCATTTTTTGATGTAGATTATTTTTTAATATTCCTACGAGTAGCGCCCGCCCGGAATGCATATTGGAGATTTGAAAAATATGGTATGCCATTGCTTTTTCTGAAAATATTTTTTTAAATCCACATTTATTTTGCAACACATTTGACATCTTGACTTTTTTCCGTCCGATGCACCGTTTTCGCGTAAAAAATAAAATCCATTTTGGTTATTTTAGTCAATTGACTTTCGTTGAATAAAAATTAAACAAAAACACATCTTACCTACAAACTATCACATGAGATTAAAGCGATTTTGCAATGCATGAAAATTAGAAAAAAACAGGTTTGCAACAAGTTTTGACAATATCTGTGAATCAAATAAACTAAGGGTGGATTTCACCAGGATTGTCAAATATAGCGAATGAGCTTCCAGATCCATTCAACAAATTTTAGCAACCAATAGCTGTGAAATATTGTTAAACTATGAGAAGACAGCTTGTCATTGAAACAGCACCAGCAGAATATTAAGAAATTACATGAAATTCAGTCAAAATTAAAAAAAAAATGATTTTTGAATAAAATTCATGTTTTTTTACTAATGTTGATTGTTTATTTAGGTTCATATTATTTTCTTCAATTGATATGGCATTTTACTGATTTAACATCACCTACCGTGTGTTTTTACTTATATAAACCTCTTGCTTATAGCCATTAAACACCTACTTGCCGTCAGTACCTTAGATTGATATTCGTACAAAACCATTCAGGATTTTTGATATCCAGACACCCATAAAGTTGAATATTTTTCGTAGTTCAAGAAGTGAACAAACATCCGCACTATATTTACAGCGATTGAGAAATACCCAGATATATGTCGTAAAGCTACCAGCAAACCTAAAACGTGTAAAAAACTAGAATTTGCAATAATTTTTTTTCACGGAGTACACATTCTTATTCACTATTTTACTAGTATCCATTACGGTAGAATAGCAGATGATTATCTCCTGATATTTCGAAACACCCCATATCGACAAGTGACATATAATTCTGTGGGATCGGGCAAGGCTTGCTCCCAGTGGAGCAAACTCGGCCTACTGTTGAAATATATTCTACTAGGCTTTATAAGACTATACGTAGTGAAATTTTTTCCCAAATCGTTGCACAATCCTTGAAAAAATGCAAATGAAAATTTTAAAATCAACGTCATGTCGCCCCAAATAGCTCCGTCGGTACCACGGGTTATACATCTTGACAGCTTGTCGTTGTGAAATGGGCTGCGGTATGCGGTGTTGCCTTTACTATTTTACATTTTTTTTTTTTACATTTTTTCTTATGAAAAATAGGAGCTTCAAATGAAATATTGGCAAATATGAATGGATATGCATAGAATTCAGAATATAAATAAATATTGAAAGTTTCAGATTGTCTGTGTATGGACTTGAGCCGGGTTTTTCGGTATTTTTACCGAAATGATAATATTTACCGAAAACGTCACTTTCCACGATTTTTCAAAATAATTCAAATATTTCCATACTTGCCAAAAAAGAGCTGGAACAAAAAATAAACCTTAATGTTAGTTTTATGTAACCTTCGTAGTTTTATGCCCCATATCAGTGACACATATGCATACACACTCAGGCAGACGAGAGACGTACATTTAGGTTGCCTATAA